CAATTTCTAAATGCCATCTGCATAGGTTTATCTCTTCCTAAATGTTTAAGAAGTATCAGTCGTTCACGATCTGATACTTTCACATGTGGCACTCGCCATTGTATTCTTTGTATGTCTATTTGAAAATGTGCAACATCTTCAGTTCCTGTAATACTATTTATGTTAGAATTACTTCTGTTCAGTATAAGTTCATGTTTACAATTTATTACAATTTTAGCATAATCTTCTGCAAACCCTAAAATCTTATTTAAAGGTACAGTAGCACTAAAATCACCGTTTTCACTTTTAAATCCATCCATATCCCAACCCCACAAAGCTGCTACTTTATTTTCTGCTTCATTCATTGAAATGTATGATTTAATTGTTGACGTTATACCAGCATTTTTAATACGATCTATTTCGATTCCATTTATCTCATACCTTATGTCTTGAAACAAGAACATAATAGGATTATTACTGAACGTAACAGTTTTTTTAATCTGGTTTCCATCTTTGCTAAAGAGCTTTGCACGACCTTCGATGTAAATTGAACTGGCTGATGGTAATACATATATTATGTCTTGCTGATGGATTATAAGAACGGATTTCATAACTTTCAATAGAAGTATCGAAGTTTGGTAAGTTATTAATCTGTAGTATATTCATTCTTTAAATCCTAAGGACTTTAGAAAATCTTTATTATTTTTATTCAAGGTCTTAAATTTTTTCTCACGTCTTCGCACCTTAGTGAGTGTAGAAGTAATAGGGCGCTTTAAGTAGACTGTAGGGTTTTTATAGTGCAATATCATTTTACTTTCCTCAAATGGAGGCGAATTTCAATATATTGTTCTTTGAAATTAATTCGGTGGTCTACCACCGAAAGAACAATCGCACGCAGCCACGCAAGCCATGCAAGCCACGCAAGCTACGCAGCAGCTTTTCTGTTGCACGTATGGGCCGGCTCGAGCCGGGTTAGTATAACGATCTCACAGAATACAGGCGTGAAGTAGAAGCTCTGCTTCCGCGTTTCGTCTGGTGAGTGCAGGTGACCAGAGGCCCAATTCCCCCCCCCCCATCAACATGGTAGCGGAATTATATCATAAACTAACCCAGGAGGGTACCAGTACCCCTGGAGAATCCCTCGCTGAGCATCCACGACCATACTATTCCACTCCTGAGCGTGGGTGCTCAGGCTGCCCCGCGTATTCTGGAGGGGGGGGGGCAAAATTCCGCTCAACACAATAACTGCCCGGGGCAAACTAAGCAACAAGACCAAGACGACCCCTGCCACGCTATCCGTGAATTTCTGCAACATCAGGGGAGTTCACTCGAACGCCGTCCACTACCATCTCGAGACGGCGAAGCCGGCCTTGCTCTTTCTGACCGAGACGCAGGTGTCTTCTGCAGCTGATACTTCGTATCCCTCCTACCCGGGGTACAAATTGGAGCACTCCTTTCTGCCTCGGGCTGGAGTTTGCATGTATGTTAGAGAGGACATCTGTTCTCGACGCTCCGCAGTCTTGAAGGTTCGGACCTGTCCATCCTTTGGCTACGCGTAGACAGCGATGACCATCCGCGCGTCTACGTGTGCCTCTATAGGTCCCATAGCGGTAATGCCGAAACAGACAGACTCATCGGCCACGTCCAAATGGCTACAGATTCCTTGCTACAACAGGTCCCATCCGCAGAGATCGTAATCCTTGGCGATTTTAACGCCCGCCACGCCGAATGGCTCGGTTCACGTTTAACCGATCATGCGGGGAGATCTGTTTATGACTTTGCCTTGGCATATGGTCTGACACAACTGGTTACATCGCCTACGCGGATTCCAGATGTTGAGGATCATACACCTTCCCTGTTGGACCTTCTGCTGACCTCTCATCCGGACGGATATCAGGTTTCCGTCGATGCCCCTCTTGGCTCTTCGGACCATTGTCTGATCCGGAGTGTGGTGCCACTCACGCTCCCCTTCCGGTTGCGTTCTGCAGGTTGCCGCCGTATTTGGCATTACAGGTCGGCGGATTGGGACGGAATGCGGTCTTTCTTTGCTTCCTACCCATGGGTTGCTTCTCGCCGGATGATCCCAGCGCTGTTGCTGACTCTGTCACTGATGTGGTGCTACAGGGAATGGAACTATTTATTCCATCATCTGTGGTACCCATCGGAGGCAGATCTCAGCCTTGGTTTGGTCGCTCCTGTAAGACTGCTTTACGCAGTAAGCAGGAGTGTTATCAAGCCTGGGCTGCGGCTTCGGCTGTAAACTCTCTCGGGATGTAAACACCAGCATACTTAAAAAGAAGTATAACTTCGCCTCCAGGTCCTTCAAAAGAGTTATTGCCAAGGCAAAGTCAGAGCACATAGACAGAATTGACGAGAAACTAGTTCGCTTTGCTTCGGGAACCCGTGCATTCTGGTCTCTCGCCAAGGTTTTCAAGGGAATTTCTGTAAACCATCACTACCATCTTTACACAGGGAGGACGACTCACTGGCCCACGACCCAAAAGAGAAAGCCGACCTTTTAGGCTCCCTTTTTGCGTCCAAATCGACTGTTGATGACGGTGGGAACACACCGCCGACCATCCCGCGGTGTGAGTGCTCCATGCCGGATGTGCGGTTCTCACAGCGCTCGGTTCGCAGAGCACTCCTCTCCCTTGAAATCCACAAGTCGAGTGGGCCTGACGGAATCCCCCCAATTGTGCTGAGGACGTGTGCTCCGGAGTTGGCACCGGTTCTAACGCGTCTTTTCCGGTACTCCTACTCCCTAGGCGTAGTCCCGAAATCATGGAAGACAGCCTTTGTCCACCCGATCCCTAAAAAAGGCGACCGCTCAGACCTGTCCAACTACAGGCCTATCGCCATCACCCCCTTGTTCTCCAAAATAATGGTATCCGTTATAAACTGCCACCACCTTGAGGATCACCAGCTGATTAGTGACCGCCAGTACGGTTTTCGTCGGGGTCGATCAGCTGGTGATCTTCAGGTCTACTTAACTCATAGATGGGCGGAGGCAGTAGAGTCCAAAGGGGAGGCGTTGGCCGTTAGTTTGGACATTGCGAAGGCCTTCGATCGGGTTTGGCACAAAGCGCTTCTTTCGAAGCTCCCTTCCTATGGGCTTCCCGAGAAATTGTGCAATTGGATCACCAGCTTCCTAGCAGAACGGAGCATCAAGGTCGTTGTAGACGGTGCATGCTCCGACTACAAGCCTATTAACGCTGGTATTCCACAAGGCTGCGTGCTATCACCAACGCTGTTTCTTCTGCATATCAATGATATGTTGCAAACTGGTAGCATTCATTGCTATGCGGATGACAGCACTGGTGATGCTCTATTAACCGGCCGTGCCAATATTTCTCGGGAAAACGTCATCGAGTACCGGAACAAACTTGTGTCTGAAGTCGAGTCTTTGCTGGACAAAGTCTGGGATTGGGGGCGACTAAATCTAGTCCAGTTTAATCCTCAGAAGACACAAGTTTGCGCGTTTACCGCTAAAAAAGAATTTTGTCGTATCTCCTCAGTTTCAAGGTACTCCCCTTGTTGCCTCAGTCAGTATCGGAATCCTCGGCGTCGACATATCGAGTGACGTGCAGTTTCGTGGTCACTTGGAAGGGAAGGCCAAATTGGCCTCTAAAAAGCTTGGTGTGCTCAGCAGAGCGGGACAATATTTCATGCCGGCTCAACGCCTGCAACTTTACAAGGCGCAGATTCGGCCTCACATGGAATACTGTTCCCATCTCTGGGCTGGGGCTCCCCAGTGCCAGCTCCTTCCACTTGACAGCATCCAGCGCAGAACGGCTCGAATCGTCGACGACCGAGTCCTTTCCGATCGGCTCGCCTCTTTTGCACTGCGAAGAGATGTTGCATCTCTTTGCATTTTCTTTCGCATTTACCATGGGGAGTGCTCTGAGGAATTGTTCGGATTAATCCCAGCCGCCAAATTTCACGAATGCACATCGCGGCAGAACTCCCGATACCATCCACACCATCTGGTTGATTGGCGGTCCACCACTGTGCGATTTAGAAGATGTTTTCTTCCTCGCACAACTTCCTTGTGGAATAGTTTATCACCAGCGATTTTTCCGGACCAATACGACTTAGGGACCTTCAAGAAAAGAACCTACTCCTTTTTAAAAGGCCGGCAACGCATCTGCAATTCCCCTAGTGTTGCGGTTGTTCATGGGCGGCGGTAGTCACTTACCATCAGGTGGGCCGCATGCTCGTTAGCCCCCTCTGCTATAAAAAAAAGCCAAATTGATCTAAAACTTTAATAGTTATAGATGTAATATTATTTTTATTCACTGGGAAGTAAATAACGTTCTGAGGGATTTCTATGTGTTGATTATCTGCAGCAGTTTTAGATACAAATTCGTGAATAATATGAGTAGGTAACCCGTTGCAATATCAGCCGTATATGAGATCACATTCGATTCTGATCACAGATGGGAACTTGCTATCAACATAAGAATATTTTGTTGTTGAGTTTATTACTGAAAAATATAGTAAACCGCACTCGTATTGACCTGATAAACTCAGAGGCGGTTGAAAGTAGGAATCCAATTCTGATTTATTTCCTGAGATAGTAACTGTTATAGACATGCTTGTATACTGAGCAATTTATGAAGTTCTTGTTTATTTTATGTCTTGATTGCGCCAAAAATTCTCCAAAAAAATCAAACAAAGATATCCACAATTAAAAGGATGATCACGCTGTATGTTATCATAATTATAGTGGACTTTAGGACCTACATATTTTATCAATTCCATTGGAGATTTAAGATTTCCATAACTGTCGAAATATTCAACATAATTATTAAATTTTACATAGGCTACCCAATGAGATCCCGGATTTGAGGAAATATCTAAATTTATAACTCCACATTCTTTTTTAAAAGGGTGTGTTGGGTGCTCATCTCTCATAAAGACACCTCGAAAATAGGGAATATCTTTCCATACTTTAAAATGTCAATGTTAGTACCTACCAAACTACCTACCCAAACGCGCCTTACGTTTGGGTAGCCTTTATTCTAGTTTTTTATTTCTTTAGATACAAAAATGCCAAATCCGTTTTTATGAGGCTTAAACTGTAACCCATTTCCGATACAAAGAGCTTCCATTTTTTCATTGTGTCTCTTCAATTCAGCAAATTGTTTTTTAGCCATTTTGATTTCATTTATAGTTTTAAGTATACCAGCTGCACCTCCTGCTAAGGCTCCCGTAGCCGATAATCCGCCAAAAATCGGAATCAAAGGTAGTACCCCACCAGTTTTTGGTTTAGGAATAATGCGAGGAAGTTTTATAACAGAATTATCAACTAGTTCTATAGCAGCAGCTATAGGTAGCGCAATTGCTGCTTTCTTGCATTTTGGTTTTAATTTTTGCATACGAACGTACGTCTTTTCGTTTTTGTAATGATATTCTTAAACTTATATTTAAATTCATTCCCCAACTTTCTCGGAGACATTTTATTACTATTGCCATTATTTAGGCCAGCCCCAGTTTTACTTTTTGATTGCATAGGTTTGCTTACTATCTTTGCTGCTAACTGTTCTCCCAAATTTACATCGGGAGCAATCTCTCGTGTTGTTGCCATTTTTAACAAAACTAAATCCGCCTTATGTCGATTCTTTAAGTTTGAATATTTGTGATACGCAATGTCGTGTTCTTTACAATATTCGTCTAATTTGTTTATACCTTTGATTCCACGTGATAGTTTTTTTGATTAAATTTGTACCAGGACCACAATAATTGTATCCCGGTAAATGTAATTCAAATGGTAAATTATTAATCAACCAATTGAGAAGACTACTCTCACCAATGCACATCATAAGACTGTTTAATCGCGCTTGGGATATTTATTAAATATACCATTTTTTTATTATTTGTTCTTAATGTCAAACACAGTGGTCAGTAAGTCTATTACAATATATTTGACTTATCGATCCAACTGTTTTCACTCGAAGACAAACCTAGCCTACTAAAACTTTATTTCCTTTCCTTCTTAAATTTTTTCGACTAAATATATGTTTGGATTTTTGGTCTTTTGTAGCTCTTGCGCATAAAATCCTCCTAAAATTGGTTGACCTCTAATTGTATCTCCAATTAAGTGGTTGGAATTGTGTTCTGTAATTTTCGAATTTTAAATATTTCTGTCGACCAATTTGGAGTATATCCTTTTTCGAATGTACCTTTGTATTTGCTTATACGCACATAATCACCTACTTTAAACTTACGTTTTACATTATCATTCTTTACCAATCTAAGGTATC